TGCGAAAACTAACAATAAGCTTCTATCATTTGTGTTCGATAGGGTTTTTAACACAAAATAGTCTTTGTTGCGGCTCGGTGGGCTCTGTGCCCCTAACTGGGCACTATTGCCCTATCCTACCAACTCCGAACTTTGGAATGTTACGCGTCCGCTGATGGGTCTTCGGCGCGCCGAGCACCACATGATTAATTCGATAAATTTATATGTAACCACAACACTGCAAGAAACTGCTGCATTGTCAAAAATCCTAAACTATGGTGAATGACCAAGGACGGTAACATGGGACGAGCCGCATTGTCCCTTGCTGTCGACCTACTGAAGACTCAATTCATACTAAAATTCTGGTTCCTTATCAGGGTCGGCCGCTAGAACCCCGGTCAGCTAGAACAATGCGATGTTGCTCCAATCCCGCACATCGTTTACTAACGTAAGGAACCCTTCTCGCGCGGCTGCACCTGCGCTCTAAACATAACATGATGAAGCTCCACCGCTCAGTACAAAATCCTCTTCTGCTGGAGTTGCTCAAAACGAGGTCAAGGATGTTATGATAAATAAGAATTAATGTCAAGAGGCAAGAGCCGCTCCCGTTCGCAGCCTTATACCCCTTCCATCCTGCCGCGTTCGCAGCCAGAGTGGTCCGGCAGCGACTACAAAGTTCGCGACCGATAAACGCGGCATACAGCGCTTCCGATTAACTGTCCCGAGGTTGCTCGCATCGCAGAGCTGCCACAGCCTCTGTTTTGTCGAAGGTCTAAGGCTAGCTCCACACTTCAGATAAAGCGATGAAGCTGAAATTAAATCATGTAAGCTCTTTACAAGCTTTCTTTAATTGGTAATTCAGGCGAGGGCATCAAAGTAGGAATTAAACAAGATCAAGAACGCGAAGGAGCCAGACCAGGAATAGCAACTAAGGTAAGCTCCTAACTTTTCCCTTCTTCCGCCTATGTCAATAATTAAAGGTCATGATTGTGTTCACGGATGGGTGGAGCAATAAAGGTCCACCTCCCGATGAGATGGCAAAACATGCACTTGATGACGGTTTTGAGATGTACACCGTATCTTGGACGGTACGTTCTTTTACTTATAAATGAATGCATTGCTGATTCTTCTTCTCAC